GAGTGTTCCTGGGTGTCAGCTGGTGTTATTCTGATTGCAAGCTGCTTATCAGCATGAGGGCAGGATGTATTTACTCACCTCTATACCCATCCATCAAATAACACACAGCTTTCAATGCAATGCGCCCAGGAGGGAGCATGACCACCTAACTCCATAGGGAGGAGAGATCTGAGTTGTATCTTAAGAGGTGGGACAGGAAGGACTCAGGGGCATCATCAGGGCCAAGGGCAGTGGAGAAAGCAGAGACAGTGTCTAGTAGCAGAGGTGGCCAGCTGGGTATCAGGGCACACATATTTGGTCCCCTTACCTGGGTCTCATAGGAGCGCCTTGCGGTGCTCACCACCCTGGCCTAATGAGCAGCTGAAGGATGAGTGGCAGCAAGAGGCCAGTGGAAGGTATAGCTCATCGCCTGCTCTCAAACAAATGGGAGCCATCAGATGGCTCTTCTGGGTTTGTATCCAGAGTGTCATGATGACAAGTGTGACATCAGAGAGGTTCTGGAATGGGGGCTCTGGCTGCTTCCAGTGGCTTCTGTGAGTAAAGATCCTCTTGCCCCCACATACACATGGTGAGGTTGGGAGTAAATCTGCTCTTATCTTTCCAGATAATTTTTGTGTAAAGTTTTATTATTGAGAGAATCTAACCTAAGTATTTTTAATATGTAGAACTCTGTTTAAATCATCACTGTTAGTTTAGAGGATTACACTACACTACAGATTCTGAATTTTTCTTTAAAACTAAACTTGGTTAAAATAAGAACAACAGTGTAATTACAGTCATATTACTTGCTTCTTGGTATACTAGTTGTGTTCATATCTTTCTTATATACAAATCTTTTAAATTTTATTAGATTTACAAGAGCATTCTACCAAGCTCTTGTTTTTCAAACTGAAGTCTAAAGATTTCAGATTATAAAAATTATGTTTCGTGCTTGTCTTCCAAATTTGGCCAAAAAAATACCTCCATTTTCAAACTAGTCCTTACAATTCTCATATCAAGAAGTAGAAGAGTTTTTTGTACTTATTTGTATCTGATGGTCCAGTGATTACTAGACTTGTAGAATATGCAGAACGGACACTGTGACAGTGGTAGTCATAACCCTTAAATGACCTCTATGTGTCTGTTTCCTGGCTGTTGTAAAGTAGTCACCATATATTAAGTGCAGCTACCCACACCCAACTTAAGTGGAGGGACCTAGATGATAGGAGGCCACATTAGGGATATAAAAGCCAGGAAAATTAAGGTGCTAGAGT